ACTGTATGTATGAACTCTGACCCAATTCATGAACTGTCAATGAACTGTGAACCATCTATGAACTGCTACACTGTCCCAATAACAACACATTAATATCACAATAACTTAGCCAAGATAATAATGTTTAATGTTTTTCCATTCATTTCTTTTTGTTTATTTGTGTACATATATTTATATTTATAATTTCACATCAACTGTAATGTATGGTATTGTATTTGTAATATCATTGTCATCAGCAACTGTATCTCCCGTATCACAAGTTCTCTATGCCCTAATGATTAACGTTTCAATTAACACCGATGCCTGGCATAAGTACACCCTGTGGAGGTGTTCATCTCAAGACGGTTAGTGTGAAGGAGCGACACCAGTTCTGCCAATGGCGATGTGTTGGTGCTTCCCACACTTAGTCCTGTCTTGCCCTGTCTATCACGCGCTGAGCGTGCTGACACCACGGATTCTCGTTAAGAAGAAGAAATACTTTATAATATCAATATTCTAATAATAATACAACTTCTGATGTTAAGCTTTTAAGAAATAAATTTTAAAGAAAATTTTAAAAAAGTCTGAAAGCTTTCAGATTTTATATTACGTCCATACGGGTATTTTTTTAATGTTCTGTGTGTTACCTGTATTTATTAAATACCATGTTCTTCGTAAATCATAAAATCATAAAATTCATAAAAATCATAAAATTCAATTCAATAGCCGTATTGCAGAATAATTTAGAAAGATCGTATCTTTAGATTTTTCGATACACTGTCTCGCGCGTTGGAGATAAAAATGTATTTATTTATTATTTTTAGGGCGGGTTGTAATGTTGCCATTGCTGGCTTTGAAATGAGTTTCCTAATCAAAAACTCATATATGCTTTACAAAATATGAAATAGATAATAAAACAAATTCCAACTTTGGGCTTCCAAATGCCCATATTTGGGTGGATATATACGTCATTGAAAATTGGATGGCTCTAGGTACCTTTGTTTTATCACAATGCGAGAAATATGCATAATTTATGCGGATTCTTCATTATTTAATTTCTTAAAATATAATAAAAAACTAAACTAAAACTAAACTCAGTGGCCTAAAATATAATACAGGGAGATAATACTTGGTGGCAGCAATATGAAAAGTTATTCAGACTTTTAAATTTTTCGACGCAAAATGCCAAAACGAAATTAATAGCCTTTTGCGCTAGAAAGCTCAAAAGTTATATTTCTCTTTAAGATAATAAACCACGAACGCAATTCAGTATAGTTGTATATATAACAAGTCGTTAAAATAATTTTTTATTGTGTGTGTGGGCGGGTAGAATTTAAATCCTACCGTATTGTTATATAAAACGGTTCTTCAGAAAACGACGTGATTTTGCAATAATATAATACTTAAACAATGGCTTTAGTAACTTGAAATTATGACATTTTGTGTCATTATATGTTATGCCATTATGTCATTATATGACATATTATGTCATTTTATTTAAAATAAAACAACTTATACATAGTGCCTCTGTATTCGCGTGTAGTATGTTCCAAGGTTTACCACAGATACGTAAAACCGCGGATAATAGCGAATATTATACATAATACAGGATATTCGTGCAGATTATGTAAATAAGATCACATTTAATTGATAAATTATATAATAATAAAGTATACTTTAGGCTGCACTATGTTACATGCTGTAGGACTCAAATAAAGTAATACAAAATATACTACTTATTGTCTCGGACGTCTCGTTCTCGTTTTGATGCATTAGTTTAATCCTCCAATCTCCGAGTCGGAGAAAAAAAACCCTATTTTCTATACAATATGATGCACAATTTCAAGGGATCGTTGGGGGTGGGGGAAGTTATATATGCTTAAAGTATAGCTGATGAAAATTCAGATAATGCTAGAAATAGGGTGAAAAGAATGAGCTCAAGAACACAAATTTCCCTTCCTGCGACGATAACTAACTGTACCCATCGATAACAATACACTAGACAAAATGGCATGGCGAGAAATTTACGCGTTCCTAAATAAATTCCCCCAAATTTATTACCCTTCTTAAAGGGAAAGGTTTCCGCATGCGAGTGAGGGGATTTTACTTGAACGTGTCATGTTCACATGAGTTCGTATTCCTAGGGAAATAGAGTATTGCAAAGTCTGCTTATTGTTAAAGTAAAACGTAAGGAATTCTAAATTTTCTCCCTTTAAATTGTGGTTCAGTTTTATAAAAAGAAGTACCCGAGCTCATCTTATTTAGGGCGCTCCGGTGAGCTCCGGCTAGAATTGTAATTTATCTTAAAAATTGAGAAGTACCGGAGCCGGGCTCCGGTGGGCTCCGGCGCAATTTAAGCACTGGCTTATGCTTTACTTTCACTACAAGCATCAACTTCTTAAGAGTTTAAATCTGATCATTTTAACTTGCCATACGGCCATTCACGGTCGTATGGCAAGTTAGAATGAAGTTGATATTTCCCTTACAGCTGAACAAATAACACAACAGCATTTAGTAGCACCTTAGTAGCACTTCAAATATCCGAAATAATTTGGAACACATTCGGATTTTAATAAAATCTGCAGAAAAAAGTCTTATTTATTTAGTTTTCGTGCAGGCCAAATATGTTCATGGTGGAAAATAACTTTAATTTTTCATTCATCGGGCCTTATTTTAAGTAATTAAAATTTTCTTTTGTCTCTAAAACAAAGAACAAAAAGCTTTTTTTTAGACTAAATTTGTCAAAGCAGAAAAAGCAATTTATCAAAGTTTTTTAATTTGTTTTTTTACTATGAAATTATTTTGGACCTGTCTCTGTCTTGTATTTAAATTGAAATTAAGCAACATTAAATTTTATTTATGTAGACCTTAAAAAACAAGTACTCTTTTTATTTTTGTTTATTTTTTACAGCAGTCCTGTTAGCACTGTGTAAGACCTTTTATTGATACTTATAGGCTACATATTTGCAAACATTCTAAAACAATCTGTGTGTTGGATACATTCATCTAAATTATGAGCTTCTTGAAAAATATGTAGTGCTTGTATTAGTCCGCTGGTGACGAGGGTTATAACCGCTTAACGCAGATAAATGATTTCGGGCAAAAAGATTACCTTGTAAAGATCTTAAGTGACCACTGGCCGTGTTGACTAACGTTTATTTTGTTTTAAAACTTTATTGTTCTCTCTTATTTTCCACTTCCGGCTAGAATAAACACGTTAATCTGTTTATGCAAATTGTGCTTGCTAACGCTTAGGTATTTAAATTGTGGCTTTTCGCCAAGAGCAGAGTTAGGAGATAAGAGTGAGCCTTCTTGCCACTTTAGCAAAGAAAGTTTCACGCGTGCTTTCAGTCAGTTGCTTTCCGCCTTTAAGGCCAAAGGTTTAGTCCTCTTGATATCTAAGACGTATTGTAGTTTTCCGCAGTTTGCGTTCTACATACGTAATAATCTGAAAGGCCAATCTTCGTGTCATTCATCTGTGTAAAGCATTTGAGTTTAGCTCTTATTTAAATTTAGTTAGTTAGTAGTTCTTATATTTTTGCATTCAGACCACAAGTGGTCGGCCTTTGTATCCCGAATTGCGGGAGCACCTGTAAAGTGTGGAAAATAAAGGGTAAAGTTAACCCTTCTTACTTGTGCTGTTTGTTCCACACATACACGAACATAGCTTGAGTAAGCTCCCTGTTCACATTCAGGGCATTAGATGTTCCCTAAACAGATTAGAAGATCAAGCAGTCCAGATAAACTTGATGGCCATTTCCGTGGTTTTCATAATATGAAACGTAAATACGAATTTGTTTCCTTTACAAGTTCTCATTAGCAAAGAACCCATCTGGGGGTTGTTGGTTTCAAATAAATAAACAAATAAATTATTTTCATAACATTTTTATGTTACGAAAATAATTTGTTAAGTAAACGAAAAAATTAAGAACTAAATTATCTTCTACAACTAAGTAAATATTTTAATTAGTTATGAGAAAAACAAACGATCTAGATAGTTTTAATTTAGAGTCTAGATAAATGTACCTCTTTGGTATGTGTTGATTTAATGTGCAATGCTTCGCTGTTGTAAGCAATAATGCAAATATCTCTTTGGAAATATTGTTGAATATATATGTGACAACTATAATGATTTATAACGATAAAGCGAAGATTGTATATAATTTTCACAACTTAAGTGTCTATGAATAAATATTTCTAATCATTAAAAAACAAATAAAAAACTTTTTCGAAGAGTTTTCAGTAAAGTTGCTAAAAGTTTTTTTTTTTAAAAAAAAAAGAAAATTCTTCAAAAATTAGAATATACAAAATCTTACATTCAGATCTTATAACAAATCTTATATTCAAAACGAGTTGTTCAAAATAACTAACTATGCTAAATGGTAGAAAATTAACTTGCATGCTATTATTTCATCATAAATTAATGCCATGTGAAGACTCGCACTGAAAAGGACTGACTTCGTTTTTATGATATATCTGCTCATTTATGTCATTAGATCGCCAGCGCAAGAAACCTGCCTAAAATATTTTCCTGAAGTAGCGATACTTTCTGTTTTGCCAAGATATCATATAAGAGATCCGAAAGCAGAAAACGCTTCAAAGAAATTTCTTTTGAGGTTTTAAAAAACAAATTAGTATTTTTCCTCTTGCCATTTGCAAGCTTATCATTTGATGGCATTTTCGAATGTTAAGCTGGAATTTTAAAAATCATTTCCATTAATTTAATATGTAATTAATTAAAAAATCTTTTCTTGAAATCACGTGACGTGTTTGAGAAAGAGAAGATTAGTAATATCTTCCACCAATAAACCCGTTTCCAAGTAACGAACGCACAGGCAAACTGAATGCCACCAAAAGTTAAACATTCGTTTTGCTGCTACGAAACAATTCATATTGATTGCATTGATTTCTCTTTCAGCATTCTCGTTTAAGTCATAGGCTACTTACTTTATGAAAAGCTTGAAGTCTAGCAGCCATAAAAATGCACATTTTCCTAGTTCTCGTATGTTTTTATATTGTAGGTTCTACCCGAGCGCTCTACTTTTACATAAAGAAGGAAGAAAATAAGTGTTTTCTTCAGGAATTGCCCTCGAACACCAATTTACTAGGTATGTAAAGTAAACTGTGTAAGTTTTTATAAACATTCTATGCAGAAAAATCTCTGTACCTTTATTTGAAAATAAGTCAGGCCTTTATCAGACCAAGATTTGCATGTTAAATTTTGCTTAAATATTTAGAGACATCTAGTTTTTATTTGACACGTCTTTCATACGAAAAGACTAAATGCATTTTGGGATATAAATGAGCAGTCTTCTTTTACGATCCCCCGCTGTTCCTTTTTCATCACTTTCCTATAAATGAAACAAGCTGTTTCATATGAAATCAGAGCCCAAACAAAAGACGAATATTACCAGCTATTTAGCTATTCTGTGTTTAAAATATATCCTTCTAAAGCACAAAGATTTAATATTTTTGTTAATTATAATTTATTACTAAAGTCTTCATTTTTAATGTTTTAAATATCTTAATAACATGTTAGTATAAGAATTGACAAACATGTAGGCAAACCAGAAAGTGGGGATGACCACTGGCCGTGTTGTTCTCCATAATAGGCTAATAATATTTTGCGTAATAAAATACCTGATTCTAACCCAAATCTTTGCCAAACAAAATCTACACCTTTTAAAAACGTTTTATTTAAAATTAATTGATTTAATTTACTACAATTAAAAAACTTTAAATTTTATGTTTTAACTTCCTGAGCGGCATAATCGCTTTTATGCGGTGATCAGACTTTTGTGTCTTGGTTTTAGTTTATAATTTAAAATATTTTGTTTTCTTTCTTTCAGGGTGTAAATATCATCTGAATGAATGGAAGTTTATAGAAACCAGAGACTAAAGTAACTAATTATACAAATTTAGCTATTAAATTCGTTTCAATACATTTCTTCATGAGCAGATCCCCAAACCCGCGTCACCCAGATAATTAATTTATTCTAATTAAATTAAACTACTTTCGTAAGCGTTTCCATTATATATGCATCCTTCGAACAAATATCCTGATGTTCATATTCTGAAGGCAGGTTATAAACATTGGACATTTCATGATTGCTCCTGTGTAACTTTTATTTGCGTTAATTCTTTAAGAATACATAGAAATCAAACTTTTAATTAAAAACATTGAGGAAAATTCCGATTAAATTTGCATAGTTACAACTTTCAGAAATGTAAACATAATTTTATTTTATAATACACTATTAATTTCTGTTATTTCAGGGCATACAGAACCTCCCATTTCTCTTAGAAACCTTCAATAAAATTGCTATTGGGCCACAAAGTTGAGTTTTGGTTATTGTTTTTGAAATAAAGGAATGATGAATTAAAATTACATTATTAATTACGTATTTCTTTTATTTCCTTTTAGTTTTATTACTTAAAACATTTATTACCATACTTGTTTGTTAAGAGATGATGAGTCTTTCCTTCCGCGAAAATACGAATTAGTATATATGCTTTATAATTTTAACTTCTTCATAAATTAATGATCTTCTTTAAATAGTTTCAAACTATGAGATACAAATGTAAGAATTAAATGATAATGTGAGATATAAATGTGAAAAGTAATAATTTGTAGTAATTATCTCCTATAATGTTTTAATTAATTATTTATAATTACTACACTTTTCTTCCTGATGTGGAATTACCATTTATCACACATTATTTAAGTTTTCCAATGGGAAGCATTAAGAATAAAATCAAAATTTCAATTCTTAAGATAATTTTGTGTTTTGTGTTGTTTGTGTGTGTTATAAATAAGATGCAACTTGTTAGCTATCATAAATTGTAACCAAACTTTAGATAGACTAACAGCGAATTATCTTTAAGTCTAAAATAACAACTGAGACCTGAGAAGGGTATAGAACAAGGATGTCAAACTCGCGGGCCGCATGCGGCCCACAACAAATATTTTTGCTGCCCGGCCAATATATTGGCAAATAATAATATATAATAATAAAATAACATATCGACGAAGAAAAAAAATGAAATGTTTACTGCTAAGTAATTAACGATAATTTATTCAGTGTTGTTAGATTACTCACAGCGAGCTGACACACACACTACTTAAATTACAAATGCGTGTGAGTAGCTCGCGTTCAGCTACCTTCGGCTTTTGGGGGACACGTGCACTCAGAACTTGTACGCATCCCCCGATAGCCGAATGTGGCCGAACTCATGGTCTCAGTTTTCCAATCATAGTTTTGTACGATATATTGGTGCATGCATGTGCATGCACTTTGCTTTATTATTAATTATTACTTAATTCATATTGTTACGGATTTCATAGTTATTTATTTATTTAGTTTTTTTATTTAGAATTCTAATTAGATTTGCTTCATGTTGCCTTAGCAACGCAGACGAGTTTTGAAAAGACAGCTGCGTTGGAAGGTTAAAAATAGAACAGCGCGTGCATTTAATACCTAATAAATAAATATCTCGTAATTGCTGTTGCCATCCACAAAAATCCAGATATTTATAGATGTTTTCAGTAAATTCTAGAAATTAATTATAAAGCTTATAAAAGCCGAGAACAAACAACTCATCTCAGTAGTAGCTGTAGTTCTAGCGAACTGTTTGTTTACTTAATGCTGTGATTGATTTGTACCGATTTCGCTGTGAGATAGAATTAGTTTCTCTGTTTTGAATTGATTTTTGCTAAACGTTTGACATTTTGTGATATTGTTAGAATATTTTTGAAGAAATATTTCAGCATTTTGATTTATCTCTTGTGGAAAGAATAAATTTTTGTTAACTTTTTAACGTTAACCGTGTTTATTCCAGCCCTTTGTATTCAGTATGTCTATATCAAAACCAAGTGATAGTAAAATTAAACGAAAAATCGCTGACGAACATAGAACATTCCAAGTAAAATGGGAATTAGAATATTTTTGCTGTGAAATAAAAGATAAAATAATCTGCTTGATATGTAATAATACTATTAATGTACCAAAGTTATACAATATTAAACGCCATTACGAACAACACATAACAATTACGAAGGATTAATGAGAATATAACAATTACGAAGGATTAATGAGAGAAGAAAAGTTGAAAGAGCTCAAGTTAGGAGTGAAAAAGCAACAGTCCATGTTTAGTAAAGTATTGCAAGAAAGTGAAGCGCCGGTACATGCAAGCTACGTCTTGTCCGAGTTGATAGCTAAACATTCGAAGCCTTTTACTGACGGTGATTTCATCAAGGAATGCCTAATGAAAGCTGGAGAAATTGTTTGTCCTGGAAATGTGAAGGCTTTTCAATCAATTTCATTGTCTCGAAGTACAGTTGCGGAAAGAGTTACTGATTTAGCCGCGAATTTAAGTGATCAGATCAAAGCAAAATCATCTAGTTTCGAAAGTTTCTCCATTGCCTGTGACGAGAGCACGGACATTAGTGGCAAAGCTCAATTCGCAGTGTTTCTTCGTTCTCGTGACAAGAATTTTAACATTTTTGAGGAATTACTTTAACTAATACCGATGCCTGGTACTACCACAGGAGAAGATATATTTACTTGTGTTTTTGGACTTCTGCAGAAATACAATCTACCTTTGGCAAAATTAAATTCTATAGCTACAGATGGCGCTCCATCAATGACCGGGAAAAACAAGGGCTTCGTAGCATTACTAAGAAAAAAACTTAGTGAAATTCACGGTTCAAACATTCATCATATGCATTGTATTATACATCAAGAAGTTCTATGCACAAAAGTAACAAATATGGAGAATGTTTTGTCATATATAAAAGAAGTTATAAATTTTATAAGATCTCGAGGTTTAAATCAGCGTCAATTCACTGCTTTCTTAAGTGAGTTAGATAGTGAATAATCGGGTTTGTCCTACTATACCGAGGTACGTTGGTTATCTTGCTCCAAGATTCTCAAACAATTCTGGCATTTGAAAGAAGAAATATGTCAGTTTTTAAAAACGAAAAATCAAGACGTAAGTTTGTTTTACGATCCAATATGGATACAGAAAGAAAGAATAAAAAGAAGAAAAGAAAGAAAAAACATAAAAGAACTATTTTATCTATTTTTACCAGGTTTATCTTTCTTGGTTGATATAACCAAACACTTAACCGATTTAAATTTATCGTTACAAGGAAAAGATCATATCATTACGAACATGTTTGACATAATTAAAGCATTCAAATGTCAACTAGTTCTTTGGGAAAGACAACTTAAAAATGAAGATTTGACGCACTTCCCGACGTGCAGCATGAACAAATCAAGTTTAGATGATACTTGTTCGTATCAAAAATACGCAGAAAAAATTGCAAATTTAACAACTAAATTTGAAACGAGGTTTAATGATTTTAGTTCTCTAGAAGACAATTTTTTTTTTTTTTTTTGTTTTCTTCGATTTTCTCAATAAGTATTGACTCAGTACGTAGCCATATGCAAATGGAGGTGATCGAGATTCAATGCAACTCAAATTTGAAAGCAAAATTCATTCAAGTGGGCGTGCCTGAATTTTACAAATATTTACCAGCCAGGTTTGAAAATACTCGAAAATTCGCATACGAAATTATTTCCATGTTTGGTAGCACTTATCGGTGCGAGCAGTTATTTTCAGTCATGAAAGGTAATAAGTCTCCTATTAGAAACCGTATTAATGATGCTCACCTTGGGTCAGCGTTGAAAGTTATCACTGCAAACAAAATTTCTCCCGAAATAGGAAAGATAATAGCAGAGAAGAGATGTCAAGTATCAGGACGTAAACATTAAATTTTTCTTGTTCTTTTTCTATATAAATATATATATATATGTTTATTATTGTATTATTCAAAATAAATCTACGTTTCTATGAATATTGATTTTTTTTTTTTTTTTTTTTTTTTTTTTTTTTTTTTTTTTTTTCGGCCCGCCTAAAGTTAAACCTTGTTTGTTTGGCCCAAGTGTACCTATGAGTTTGACATCCTTGGTATAGAAGACCCTTTTATTAAACTAAAGAAGAAAAGAAGGCACACCTGGTGCTTACAACTCAACCATCTCTTCTGCCGAGATAACTTAAATAAGTCCGCCGCAGTTGGATGGCTTGGAGCATTACCAATCAAATGTAAAGCTTTCGGCTCTAGTTTTTTTAATTCGCAGTAGCGTTTAACAGATAGACAAAAATGTTTTCTAAATCAATTTTAAAAAACATTTTTAGTGATTGAAGATTTTATTGGATTCCGAAATTACTGGTAAAGATGATTTTGAAATTCTTTTCAGTAATATTGGGGTTTGAAATGATAAACATAAAGTGGTTTTCGTTTAAAGCATCTTTTAGCGTTACTACGCAGTTAAACGATCTTTTGCAACTTTAAATTCTAAAACAGCTCAGCAATATCGATATCGGGTGCTATTTCAGAGAATTCCAATGCTGATGCGTAACACTGAAACAGCATTAAGCGGGGTCTTACTGTACACACTTTGAAAATGCCTAAAATTCATTATTCTGCTCAAAATAAAATGTTTAAAAGAACTATTTAATAAATAATATTATAAATCGAAGCTGAACTAAGTCAAAGTAGTAACAGCCACCACTTCTAAAATGTTTTAATAGACGAAAGCACTTGTTCACGGTACCAGAAGATAATTTTCCGAGTAACGGATACGGGTTTGGTTGGTTTATTTAACCTTTTAACTGTCATGCCCGAGTGAATCTCGGGCACAGCACTGGTGTTCGAAAATGTCACGCCCGAGTATTACTCGGCGTAATTTCGAATATATATCGAATATATATCGGGAAACGTTTATTTCGGCTTCATTTCTTTGTCAAACTCGACAGTATCTCGGGAAAAGTTAATGTGCCCTCAATTCAATAGATGACAGCACTTTACTGAAGATTTCAAAGGTCAGAGGTTATA